CAAACTTATCTCTATGATGTTCAGAGTTCAGGAGTAATAATTTTTAGGTAAACCCAAATAGTCATTCGTTCCGTTAAATAAACTTTATAGTGACTGTTGAAAAATCGTGCCCTCACTAGCTCTTCAGTTGACTTCTAGCTTCACAAAGGGGAGCAACGGACAAAGTCATAACAAGTGGAGAGGGGGGAATAAAAGTGATTCGCAGATGTAAAAGAGACAGACACAAAGGCAGAGAAAAGGGTAAGGTGAGTACTGTGAAAGTAGTCGAATATGACATACAGTGGGGTCATGATAGCTTGAACTCAGAAGTCAACTGCCGGTTTATAGACTTTTGTGACGCATGAGTATAGGTTGGCCTGAGTGCACCACGTGGAGGTAAGTCTATCGCTCACCCCACACCTCACCATAAGGTTCTGAATAATTTTCGAATTTTAAGACACTTGCCGCGAACACTTTGATGTATCTTAGGAAGTACAACCATATGGGGTAGACTGCGTATAACAAACCAGGTCATCATCCCAGATATTGGGAGAAGCATCCTAATTTTCCCACCTGCTATCTAGTTCAACGCTCGTTATCCGAAATTAAGACTTGCAAAAATAAAACCCGGGTGCAATAGATAAGTTAATCCAAATCGTCATTTATTTGAGTAGTATTTAATAATTTGTCGGTTTCAATTTTGCATAAAATTAATGGGGATTAACGAGAATCACGTTTTAACTCACGAACCTCATTTATTTTTCGGGAAAGTCACGTCCTCAAAGTGCCCCAGGATGTTATTTATAAAGCTAATCTTTGTTAATTCAATAAAAAATTCAAAGAGACTGCTAGGTAGTCTATTTAAATAACATCTTTGCACAAGAAAGAATGAAATTTCAATTGTTGCATTCCCATGCCAAAGCATTGATGTCCCAAGTTCACTTGTGGAGAAGGGTTTGCAATTATTGGCTAGAATGTTCAAATTCATTTAAGTAACTAGACTTCATTCTTTAAGACCGCCATCTCCTCTCCATTGAACCTGGGTACTCTTTAGTAAGGGGCCACAACTAACTTGTGAAAGAGGGAATAAGAAAAGGAAAATGAATGTTCGGACTATTTGAATAGTCACTTATTTCATTTAAATCATATACAACTGGATGTTGTACGTATTTCTGTACATTGCATTTTACAGATTTGCAATAAAAATGTAATTCAAGTCATTTGGCAAAATAAAATCATTGCAGACAGGAGTGCCCAGAAAAATTGGCGTTATTCACAGTCCTCCACGGATGAATTTGTCGTATTCTTATCCGACCCTCCAGTTGTTCGTCTTAACTTGGCTCGAGCATTTTGAAACCAAACCTAAGGATTATAAAAAATTTTAATTGGACAATTAAATGATTAAACCAGGCTACAGTTGTAAATAACAAATAACTTCTCGGAATCCATGGCTTATAATTTGCCGTAAATACTTCTGGTCTATATTTTATCCAGTCTCAACTTATGAAGATAAAGTTAATGTTCTCATTCCTTCCATTTTTTGTAATAAAGAAAGGAATAAATAAACAGATATTTGAGTTTAGCCTGCGTCCAGTTGCGATGGAAGTAACTCTGTCCGTTTGCCTTAGCTTAATAATGTTTTACATTAATGAGGGGAAATAAATTTAATTTTATTATTACTGATAAAAGTGATTAACCCCAAAGCAGACGGTGAGCACGCCATGTTGCTTTTAATCGATCGGGACTTGAACGTCCGCAAAGTGAAATATTCATCTCTATCCACCAATGTCAGTTTAGGTTTAAAAAATTGAAATCATTGTGGTCTGCACATTTTGATGATGGCGCATTTAAACCCCTGTTTGAGACAAAATCTTGATTGACTGTGATGGAGTTATGAGAGAAATAAACATATTCATAGGCAACTGTGCTATTACTCTGAAAATTAATGGGTACTTGTGTGAGTGTGCTAGCAATTTGGTCACCCACGCATCAACTCTTCCATTAAATAAAATAGGCGGAGAATCATGAAGATTTTTTCATCGTCTTGGCAATACGGAATTTGCTATTTTAACACCAACTTCATATAGGGAGCGAGAAATGGATATTTTTGGAGGTTATTGTGACGGTACTTGTACGTGGGATGAATAGCTAAACCGAGTGCAGCAGTCATAACCAAGTTTTATTATTCAACAGAAAATGGCGAATTCTTCGCATTGGAAATGCTCATCCCTTAAATCAAGATTGACCTTCGAAAAAATTCAAGATTTAAAATGAAAAATTCACCTACGTCTTTACCATACCTCGCTCAACCCAATTAATAGCTTTAATGTTTCTAGGAGCATATTCTAGGCGAAAGAAAATGATTTCGAAATACAAGTGAAGTGGTAAACCAATTGAAGGAGCATTTGAATTCGAATAGAAATAGGAACGATGAACTACAAGAGCAGTGAGAAGAAGCCCTAAATCATATTATATTAAGTAGTAATATCATATGAATAATTTTAAAATAGTTCCCTTTTAACCTTAGAAACCTAGATGGGGAGCAATCTCAAAAGACCTTTTCAATGGGTTTCGAATTAAACCCTACTTAAGGGTCAATGACGACATTCGGAAGCGATGTTTCCATTTTTAAGTTTGATAGTGTTTCTACTAAACCCTCTTCAAATGAGACCAAATGAAAGGCCCAGAATACTTTGGACTAATTATTTGGTTGTAAGAGCTATCCTCACCGAATTATCTAACTTTCTGGACTGGGCTATTATTCTGATTAATAGTAGTGGTAGTAGTAGTAGTAGTAGTAGTAGTAGTAGTAGTAGTGGTAAAACTCTCGCTTGCAACGATAAGCTATCCTGGAGCTGCTTTATTCGAACAAATTAATCGAAGCAGCCTTCAGCCTCATGCTTAGCATTATCTATTTTTGCAACTTATTTATCTGAATCATTACAGATATTGTCATAAGAAATAGTTGTCTTAGGTCCTATTGTATAAAGCAGTGCAATTCCTTGCCAAGAAAGATAGAATTTGGTCGCACTTCGAAGTTCATTATTCATCTGGGCTAATTAAATTAATGCAATTTGATTTGAGCATTATGAACTTTTTGATAAATGATTAAGTTTTACCTGAAGGACACGCTTGGCAAGACCAGTCTCTTCAGACAAGCTCATGAGATCATTAGCGTTGGGATTTTGATTTTGAGCAAAGAAGGTTTGCATGGACAATTGTTGTTGTTCATTAAAAGACGTTCGAATGCGCTTGCGCCGGATGAATCTCTGAGTGGAAGGCAGAAATGGGAGATTCAGGCAACTTTCAGCTTTTTCAACTTGCCTAATTCGAGTATCGTCCTCCAAACAAATTGGATAGCCTTCGAGGAGAGTGTAGGGCTGTCCAGGAAGTAGATCTTTCCCACAGACATCACAGGAGAAACAAAGAGCATGGAAGGTGTGAAGTGGACTATGAATAACCTTTTCACCAGGTCTTATCGGCTGTTGGCAACTCATACACTTTGGAGGCAGTTTGAATTCACAAAGCATTGGTGAAAATCTGAAAATTAATGCGGATAAATTAATCATACTTAATTATGTCACAAGAGAAAGGAGATTTATCGTGAAACGCTACCTGAAATAGTCTCGTGGGCAGTAAACTCGACCACCTCTTGTGTAGCATTTTGAAGAGGCAACGTTCCTATCATCGTAGAGAGGACATTTGCACCAGGAACAGAGAAGACAGTCAGCATGCCATGCACGACCATCATTTGTCTGTAAGTATTCTGGGACGCTTTTGTTCTCCTCGCACGATGTTTGGAGGATCTTCTTGCATCCAGAGCACTTCCGATCAATCGAGGAGTTGGTGGTGAGCATTCTAAAATAAAGGGAAGAAGGGAATATGAGATTATTTACCATTTCGTTAGTTTGTATCAAATTTACGAAACTCCATTCACTAATCGGCATACTTTTATCAAAAAATAAAAAGTTTCTTTTGTATATTATTCAATGAATAAAAATCTAACTGACGTACCAAGATTTTCGATAATTGTGGTAAAGTCAAATTAAAGCAAATAAGCAGGTCGCTTTAATACTCGTCCTATGGAGTCATATGGGATGAACTTTTTAAGTTATATATTGCCTTCGTATCTCAAGCAAAAATAGCTGTAGATATCGGAATAATTTCTGCCCTACCACAGTCTAGATTAATGAAACTCTTATTTGTCAGCATACGAAAAATGAATTTTGATGGCTCCTAAATAAATAAGTAAATTCCATATTACGTTCCCGAATTAACAGCAACTTCATTCCCAAATACCACTGCCGCTGAAGTGGTCAAGCAAGTAAAATAAAACGTTTATAGGGAGGTAAAACTAATGATAAAAAATGCTCACCTTGCATTTAGACGAAATATAAAGACACAACAAGATGGTTAAATAAATATATCTGGGATCATCTTGCACCCACTTCGTTTTTAAACCAATCAGATTTGTGGAGTGGTCGTGCAATCAAGGGGGTGATGGGATACGGACTTAAATATGATTGGCTAGGGAGGATGCAAGAATTCCCAAAAAAAGAATTTACATCAGGTGTACTAAACAAACATACTAAATTATTCATACAAATTCAAAAAAATATGAAAAATTGGTAACTTTTATTTGCTGGCGTCTAGAATTACTAATGTGCATAGTATTAATAAAATTGTTAATAGAAATGGATTCGAAATTATTTATTTATTTATTTATATCAAGTGGCACGCATTTTGATAGTTATCATAAGGCCTTTAGTTGACTTCAGGCTTCACAGAGAAGAAGGAACATCAAAGTGAAAAAAAGTCGAGAGGGGGGGGGAAGAGAAGAGTATTTCAAAGATGTAAAAGAGACAGACACAAAGGTTGAGTGAAAAAGGTGAGATGAGTACTGTGGAAGTAGTCGAATATGACATACAGTCGGAAGTCAACTGCCAGTTAAGAGACTTTTTGCCGTATGAGTATACGTTGCCCAGGGTGCACCACATGGAGGTTAGTCTATCACACACCCCCACTTCGAAATTATTGGTTAAACAAAATTTGAATTCATTTATGCCTCATACTACGACGGAAGAAGCTACATAATCGTAGCTACAACCACATCTCACTCAACTGTGCATTTTTTATAAGCGATTCTGAACATCATCTGAGAAGAATCAACGATGATAGAGAACATTTTTCTCATAGCTATCAGCAGATATTTAGGTGTTCTTAAATGTTTAACTAATCTTTATGACTGACTACCTCCAATTACTTTTTAGTTGACTTAAGCATAAAGAAATCGTTTTTACTGTAACTTGGCAATTCTAATCTTATCAGATTTAAAGTTGGATGCTGGTTAACATTTTGTATTCTTTAATAGTACTTTTCATTACATTGGGCAAATCAGCAACATGATTTTTGTATCCAAATGGATTAAATTAATGATGATCAAAAATACTATGCAGTTCTGTGGAAGTTTTGCATCTTCTTATACGATTTCGCACATATCTTCATATACGCTTGATTTTTGAACTCATTTACATGGAGAGATTGCAGTCCCCATAAGCTTTTAATCTAAAGGTTTATTATTATGGAAATCAATTTTCAGAGATGTGAACAGAAAGTTGTATAATAGTTAAGTAAACAAAAGCGAAGAAGTCAGTAATTCGTTCCTTTTATAGATAATTTGTTTTGAGTTTAGGAAATCACACTTGATTTAAAATAGAAGGGTTTATCCAATCGCACACTGTGCAAAGTAATAAAAATGGGAAGAAACAAAGTCCAGCGAGTGAGTAGGGAGGCCCTTTTTCTCGCAATAGCTCAAAAGCGTTTTTGCGAAAAGATTTGTAAAATTAAGGATCAAATCATAGGAATATGACTAAATGTCAATGTAATATACAGGTGGGCCTCTCCACTCGGGACCTGTAATTAATTGACCATCAAGTGACCTCCCCCCTCCCATTTGATGCACGTGCATGATGTCACAGATCCAAGGAGGAGGAGGAGGAGGAGGAGGAGTCAACGCTCCAATTCCGGGATTTGTCGGTAATGTCAGACTGGTAAAGAATGTAACGATGTCACAGTGGCGTTCAGTGTATCTCCTCATTAGTTTAAATAAACATCACCAAAAGACCTCACGGAGGGGAGTTGACAGGCACCGTTTACAAGACATTGCAACGCCGAAATCTATACTACGCGTCTTTCCCCTTTCCCCTCTATTATTATTTCAAATGTCAGCCGTTTTGATAGTTATCATTAGTCCTTTAGCTGACTTTGAGCTTCGCAGATAGAAGGAGGAACATCAAAGTGTCAAAAAGTCGAGAGGGGGATAGAATAATGAATCGCAGATGAAAAAGATACAGACACAAAGGCAGACAAAAGGT